TCATCTCGTGTGGCTTTTCTCTTACAGTTATACCTTGCATGCTTTTCTTGCTCCTAGTGAAGGTCTTGCCATGACAATGGCAACACTGTGTAGGAGTAGACTTTCGACCGTCTATGTTTGGTTCATGTGTACGTCGCAGCGAGAGTGTACTAGTGTAGATCCTCGTCCTGCTGATGTCATCGTCATGAAAACGATACTAGCCAGTACTAGCAGTGAGGATTTCAGTGCTGGCACTAGTGCTAGCAGCACACTGTAATGCTGCCACTTGGTGGCGCCATCGTATTAGAGCCGACGAGTATGTAAACAGTAACAGGGTATACCGGGGACGGGGCAAGCAGCAGCGGCGTACTATTATGTGGAGGGAGTAAAATCCAGAGGAGAATACGGCGAACAAGTGGAGGTAGTAAATGTGTAAGGTAGGGCTGTTATTGAGCCTTAGCATCGCTTCTATGAAAGTAAAGGCACATACTCAGGAGGCTGATACTGACTGCGTTGACCTAAGGAGTAGGGTTTGGTAATGGAGGGTAGGATCGGAGTTATGAGTTTGGATTGGCGTGGATCTACGAAGTCTTGTTTTGATATGATAGCGTTAGTCTCAAATTCTAGCCATAGCCACGCATATACTTCAGATTTGTTTGACTTGAGCTAGAAACTTTGAGCATTTGGCTGAACTTTGGACATTTGGTCAAACTTTGGACATTCAAGTCTAAAGTTGAAAGTAGAGCTTCTAAATTTTCAGTTTTATGTCATCTTTTTCGAATTCATTTCCTGGTGTGAGCTTTTCGTGTCTTCTGTTTGGTGTTAGTCTTGTTCTAGACTAGATTTCGTGGGAATTGGAGCTTTTCTTCTAAAGTTTCACACTTGAAAACCTAAAATTTCACAAAATTTTCAGTTATATCTCATCTTTATCGAATTCAATTCCTGACGTTCGCAAAGAATCAGATAAGACTTCTCCAATTCTTTGCTTCTCTTGGGTACCAGTAGATGCATGATTATTTTTCATCCTTTCAGGCCGATGCTGCCCATTGTGGCAAGGTGTATACCTATACTGTATTCCCACTGTATTCTCCTCAAAAGGATATGCGCCTGTTCTCCTTTCTTGCGTGTAAAGTAACTGGAAAGTAGTGCTTAATGTGAAAAAAGCTGTGCTTGAGCAGCCTTGGATATATAGCAGCATCTATCATGAGGCACTTAGAAAGTCGCGTTGTGTCGTGGAGTTCTACTCCGTGATGTCGATCCTGTACGATGTAGAAGGCCTCACATACTCGCTGTTGTGCTCTATCTTTTGAGCACGATCGTCGTTTCTTGCTCTTCATGCCATGGGCGATGGATCGTTTCACGCCCTTGAGGAACTGACGAAGCCACTTCTCAAGCGGTTACATTATGACTTGGCTAATTTGGAATTCGAACTATTGTCTCCTGTATTTCTTCTCATAAACTGTTAGACCAACAAGAGCAAGCTTTTTTATTTTTGCCCACCCTTACTTGACCTTACTTCTAGGTATGACGTGACGGCTCCGAGAAAATCCGGGAAAGTCCAGCGTCGGTTTTGAAGACGCTACTCGAACATGCACCGAAAGTCGACCACGGTTCTCTCCAGTTCATCGTGTCCGTATTGTTATGGTGATGGAGGATCTTGTTGTCTTGATTGTTCAACGTACTAGTCCAATTGATCATTGAAGCTTCTGGCTCATTGCTTGAAGGTTGTATTTTGATGTTACACCTCCTCTACTTTTTTTACGTTTTCTTAGATGGGTACAGCGACAACATTGCGCTTGAATCTTGAGACTGCAACTTCTCAACGCGAACAAGGATTTTCACCTTGGAAGCTAAATATGGCTTCAAAACAACTTGTTCCATACTTTGTGGTCTAATTTCTGTTTACAGATTGGGATCCGAAGACGTAGACGGCATTTGTTTTTGCGGCATGAGAGGAGACTATTCTGAGGGGCGAAAAAGAAGCTGCATTAGTTAGATGAAGGCTTGTTCCCTCCACACCCACAACGAACAACTGAGAGAGTATTCCAACGCCAGGTATTGGGTTTTATTGACGAGCTGACCGGTCTACTACGAGCACTTCTTATGGGTTCTTACGCTGGCGTCAAGATGATTGGATGTGAGACGATGGCGACCTTCTTATGAAAGAGCAAAATCAATGCTCTTGACTTGTCGATATTCATGCTTGCAGTGCACGTCATGCAGCCATTTTTTGATCTTGTGGCGCCTCCATTTGGATATCGACGACAACCATTTAGACTACAGAACAACAACATCCCACACCCCTGCTTTCATACCCTTGTTACAACCACGAAGACGCTCTCCTGCACTTTGCGGAGCCCATGGGACGCAGCATTACGAGCTGTCTGG